ARGKYCCTGCAATCAGACTCGCTTTCACTTCCACTTCACATACATGCAAACAGGTGACGATTCACACTGGCGCAGGGCGCCCACTCAGAGCTCAGAGATATGGACAACAAGAACACAGTTCAGATGCAAGTTCACTTCAATAGGCTATTATGGCGCAACAGCGCCTGGACATCCCAACTCTCGTCGCCTCGTCCAATACCACTGTTCGCACGCCCTCAACTCTCCTCGACTCTGGATCACCCAGAATACACCCACACACACACTCAGATTCTATCTTCCTCCTACAGCGGCTACGGCCGCACTAACACTACTGGCTATGGCTACACTCTCTCTTCGGCCCACTTCAACTTCGAGCAACCGGCAGACCACCTTCGCACAAGACGCTGTAGCAGCGCTTCCACATGGCTTACGCAGCGAATGAATGAATGGCTGGGCGCTGCCTCTTGATTTATACTTCTGTAACTCGTTGGTCTGCCCGTTTCCCAGGCCCTTGGCGCACACAGTCCCACACGGTACTTGCTTGACTGGACTCTGACTGACTGGGACCGGTGCCGCTGACTGCATGGGTTTGCACTGCCAACTCGATGCAGTCGCACTGCCGACGTAACGCAGTTGGCTCACCACTTGCCCACTTTCCTCTGACTAAAGGCTCACCACTTGCCCACTTGCCTCTGACTAAAGGCTCACCACTTGCCCACTTGCCTCTGACTAAAGGCTCACCACTTGCCCACTTGCCTCTGACTAAACGTGAGACACTCCGAAAGGCCACTTCCGGACCTTCTGGAAGTCYGTGGACTTGGCCTTTCGGATACTGTAGCAGCTACGACCTTGACCTTTCAGGACTGTAGCAGCTACGACCTTGACCCTTCAGAATACCTACAGCTACGACCTCTACAAAGCTGTGACTCCTGAGTCCCAACTGACAGACCTACAGATCGAACCCCTACCACTACACAGACCTACGACAGACGACAAACAACTACCAAAACACAGGTCACGGGTTCAAACACTCAGGTGTCGACTCGATACTGTACACGGGCAAAGTGAGGTCTGGGAATCGAACTCTACGGCCCGCATCTGTGACTGCAGAAAGGTGAAAACCGCTTCAGTCCCAGCAACCAAAAAAAAAAAAAAAAAAAAAACCAAAAAACCAAAAAATCCGAAAAAAAACTATGTTATGCAGAAAAATAAACTGAACAAGTTTTGCCTCAGGGTCACATCGAAATTCTTTACCAAATTTTGACGATAATACACGATATATGATTTTTGTGACTTTTGTCACATGTACCTTGAGGCTTGAGGGCAGTGGTTGGTGCCSACCTCAGGGTATCAGTTGTCGGGCAGTCCTTGATGTGGATTATCACCTTAACCACAAAACGGGTTAAGGTGGATTATCACTTATAGTGTAATCAGTTAGGGGGCTCTGTAGACTGTCGAGGGTTCAGCAACCTCCTGATGAGTCACTCGATGAAACTCTGACGAAACAGTTTGTCGCAGCCCCTCGTTTCTTGTCCTCTTCTCCCTCTCAGCCTACAGTTTACCGAGCAGCTCTGTTTAGTCAAAGACCGAAAATGTGGCAGTGTATATTTTCATGTTCTAGTGACAGATTCATTCCCATTTTGCTCATCCCATGGATGGATATATATATATAT